TAACAATCTGCCAAACCTAGATTTCTAGATAAGCGGACCATGACCAAACATAAAACTTGCAAAAAGATTGTTACCATATTTTTTTAAATGTAAAGCCTTAACCAGGTTTGGGATAACCTGGGTATACAAATACCTTAAAGAAAAAGCATATAAAGAAAAAAGCATATAACAAGATGAATAAGGAAAGAAGAAAGAATAAACTTACAATAAGGATCGAATATGAAGGAGAAGAAGAGGAAATAAGACCCTTTTTTTTTTAAACCCAAGCCAGTAGGTTGTTTCCGAAAAATACGCAAAAGCAAGTAGTGGACCGTCTGCTATTGAGACAGACAGCCCCCCATCAGTTTACTAAAAAGAACAAAATAAAAAGGATCAGACTACCTACTCATTATTCGGAGTTTCCCTAGCTTGAGAGGTTTCATTTCAGGTTAAGCAGAGGATCAAGACTCTAATGCTTTCATTCCTTCAGCTTCAGATAGGTGAATCAATGGGCTCATTTCCTTTCTTTTTCTCGTCAACTGGGGATGAATAGAAAGCGGGAGTAGTTGGATATTTTAGGATTCATTTGATGAGGGTAGTTTTGGAATTAGTAAAAGTTATAAGGGACAAGTAAGTAATTTCTTTGGTCAAAATGAGATGGCTTTTAAGCCAAAAACGGAGAAGTTAGGATATTCAACTTGTGGCTTTTAGCTTTTTTAATCCTTTTTTAACTTTTTTAAGCTGTTTTCTTTTTTTACCAAACACTCCAAACATCTAAAAATGGCTTAAAAGCTAATTTGATCAGCTTTTAAGCCAATCCAAACAGGATCTATATCTATCTATCTATCTATCTGTACTATATTAAAAGTGGGAAGCCCACAACAAAAAAGTTGAATTACCAAATTACTCTTCTAATAGTATATATTTATATTTTATACTTATAATTAGAAAAATATTTAAGAATATTAATTTATAGTGCCTTTTCTAAACAGTTGTGTCCTTTTATTATTAGCTAATTTTTTTTTAAAATTATCTGGCCATTAGAATAGAACTATTTTTTTTTAAGAAAAACCGATGCCTTGAATTGAAGGCCGGTTGTGGTCCTTCGGTATAGCAAAATAACTTTTCAAACGACTTCACATTTCAAAATCAAGAGACCATTTCTATCAATTAAATATCCTATTTAATTTCAAAAAATTACCAACACTTTTTTTTTCTGTTTGTAAGGTTGTTACCGCCAAAAGTTGCCGCTGTTTAGTTTCTAAATCATATTAGAAAATCAAGAGAGGACTGTCCGGTTAAAATTTGTAACAAAAGTAGATGGAAGTGCAATAAGAGTTGACACATGAGGCAACTAGTAAGACTTTTTATATATTTTTTTATTTAGATTTTGTATTCTATAGGAAGAAGATAATCGGCTTAGATGATCTTCTCAATGATTTTTACCAAGTGAAGAGCAACATATCAAAAGTCTTACCATACCGAAGAAGCAAAGCTTTATCCAACAATAACACAGCTTTCGAAATTAATTCTAAGTCCGTCAAAATTATTCTTGCACAATCTTGATTACGATTCAAATTATTTATATTAGTTTGAATAACTTTTGAGAATTGAACCTGTTATGCCGGGCTAGATGATGGAATGTTATTGTCAGAGATGATAAACCCATCAACACATCAAAATGGCTAAACTCAATTTTTGGATATCAACTTTGATGAGCTCGTACAGTTAGAGAAATAATTTAATACTGTATTTCTGAAACATTTTATATACTCCAAGGCTTTTGGCTTTTGTAGAGTTCACATTGTAATCTATCTATATATATTTACATAAAGTTGGTCTCAAAAGATATGATGTGACACCTCTCTCAAGCATCATCATTAATCCTCTTAATCACACCTTATTATATTCTTTCCTATTCTTTTTGTTAATTCTCTTAATCGCATATTTTCAACTCGAAAATTATGTATTTTTAACTTTGTATTTCGATGTTGCATTTAGTTTTTTGCATGGAAAGGTTAACTTTATCTTGACATATGGAATATGAGTGAATTCATATAAATTTTATCTGGTTAAAACTTCATATGAAATATAACTTAACCAAAATAAAATGTACGCGAGTAAAGCTCCTTATAAAGGCAAAATATTGCAGGTGTAAGCTCAATCGAAACTTTTAACTATTGTCCCTTTTCTTTTTCTTCTCACTGATATTTAAAAAGAGAGGCTTGAATATTTCAAAAAAGTAAAAAATAAAAAAAATTCGAGAAGAAAATTATGCCAATATGCAATTAATATTGTTATAGCTGAATTATAAAGAAGATAAATGTGAGCAAAGAATGTTGTTTTTATGACATCATCTATTGGGGCAGTCAAATATCAAAGGGCAATATACCAAAGTTTAATTAATAGTATGATGCCTAGGAAAATAAAAATAGGTAAGAAAGTATGTCTTTTGACTTTATTCAGAAAAGTTCCTAAGGTTACACGAGAATGCTAGCTTTTCATACATTAAATTTGTAATTTATAACTAAATCAATATTTCTCGAATATGTGTGCATCAATTATTATTACTATATATATTTTGTGAAAAAAAGAAAGATATAAATAACACGTGCAACGCGAGACTAGTCTATATTATTATAAAAGCATGAATACAAAGTCGGTTTACAAAAATAACCTTATAATATTAAGCATAATAACTCATATAAAAGGATATACCGGAATTCTAGATANACATTATAATCCTATTAGTTTTAGGACATAATACTACACGTTAGAATCCTACACGATACCAAGACAACTTATAAAAGAAATTGTAGCAACTAAGCGGCAGAATCACTTATATGGACGTTCTACCTTTTGTTTAATCTCTATGCAAATGTAAATATTTCGCACATAAAGTAAAATCATAGAAGAGAAACTAATTGGAATTTGAAGATCACTATTCAATAATCGGATCTTGTGATAGAATGATAAACGAGAAGTCGAGAACCTAATTTTATCCAAATTTTAAGGTTATTAAATACAAATGGAAGGACAAGTTATTCACCCAAATCACTTTTACTCTTATCTATATCTATATATGTCTATGTCTATCTATATCAATATTATTATAAGAGCATGAATAAAATGTTGGAGTACAAAAATAACATTTTAATATTAACCATAATAACTCACAATAAAAGGACATAATCAGAATTCTAGACATTAACCTTGTAATCCTATTAGTTTTAGCCTTTTAGGACATAATACTACACGTTAAAAATCCTACATGATGACCTTTAAGAAACCTATTAGTATAATTTTTTGGCATATATAATACTACATGTTAGAACGTACACCTAATACGTTTAGGAACATGTTAGATTTTCTATTAGTATAATTACTTTGGGGATATGGACATATTTTTAGCCATGTAATCCTATTACTTTTAGGATATACTTCTTAAAAAATTTCTATTAGTAATTTAACTTAAAAACGTATTATATTGTCCAAATCCATTTAGAAACATGAGAGCATATATCTATCTATCTATATTATTATAAAAGCACGAATGTTCTATGCTAAATGTCGAACAACAAAAATATCCCTAAAATATTGATTGACGTTTATACCCTTAATTATTTACATTAGTGTTTACGGAAAATCGTATGAAAAGGACAAAACTAGAAATACTACACACTAGGATAGGTACTTGTAATAGAATCCATTGCAAATCAGGATCTCTTCAGCGGCGGTGATTTATTACAACACTAAGTGCACAAATATTGGTGGATTTGAATGTTCTATTATATGCAAACTATTAATTAATATTTGAAGAGATTTAACTTCCATTTTTTATTCATGGTATCTTTATTTTCCATGCAGAATCCCAAATTAATATATATTTATATTATAAATTTTCTACCTAATTCAATAAGAAAAGATTAGTAATCAAAATTTTAGTTGATTATAAAATTAAAAATATTAAAAAATAACTTAAATGGCTAATTTATTCTATTATATGCAAAATATTAATTGATTTTTGAAGAGATTTGACTTTCGTTTTCTATACATGGTATTTTTATTTTCCATACATAATCCCAAACTAATATATATTTATATTATATACTTCCTACCTAATTCAATAAGAAAACTAGAAAAGATTAGTAATCAAAATTTTAGTTGATTATAAAACTTTAAATATTAAAAGAATAAATTAAATGATAATTTTATTCGATGCATAATTTATTTTTAAAAGGAAAAAAAGATAAACGATATTATATTTCATTAAAGGCCTTCGTGCTTTTAATATAATCTGTATCTATCTATATTTATCTATATATCTATCTATCTATATTATTATAAAAGCACGAATGTTTCATGCTAAATGTTGAACGACAAAAATATCCTTAAAATATTAATCAACTTTTATACTCTTATATTTTGTTAAAAAGATAGTTCCATATTGAATAAAATAATAATATCTAATTAATTTGCCTAATATTTAGGAATCTAATACCAACTAATGATAGAATTTCTCAATGTACGTTAACTCCTGCCATCATCCACATTAGAGGCGCATCCGGGATTTAAATCTTATGGGTTCAACTTTTAAGGTTTTTAGCATTGAACCCATTATATTTTTAAAGTTATGGGTTCATATCCGCTGCTTTTGCAATTTTAATAAATCTTTACATATAAATTGTTACTCCGCATCGAAAGTTATGGGTTCAGTTGAACCCGTTAGTTATTCACTACATCCGCCTCTGATCCACATCTCCTACACAGTTATACCAACAATCTCCTATATTATTCTTTTATTAAATGACTAAATATTAAAACTTTGAGTTGGACAATATCAATCAAACCATGCTCCTTATGATTATTTTTTAAAATTTAATTTGAAACTCTTTCATAAATAATTGATAAATAAAAATCTCGTGCACGCACGAACGTAGAAACTAGTAAAAAAGAAAAAAAGGAACTCCCATTTTGGGCTTTTCCTTGCTTTCCATAGTTTCGAAAGGCCAAATCGGACCCAAATTTGATTTATATATTATTTCCGCCCTAATTTCAAAATTAGGCGAAAGTTTCTTCTTTCTCACCACTTCTACTCACAACTTGCTCTCTGCAGTGTAATCGGAAGTGTAAGTTCCTCGCCTTCTCTAATTCCCTCGCTTGCTCCGTTATTTTTCTTAGGATAAGTGTTCTCCTGTCTCTCTTCAGAGTTCAGACAAATGCTTAAAACCCTTTTTTCCGATGATTCGTAATGGTGAAATACTAATTTAAAATTGGAGTGCAATGCTTCTTGTTTGCTCCCACGGCGTAAAAAAAAGGGTTAACTTCGATTCCTAGTTGTTTGCAGTTTACAAATTAATAATATGCATCTTATTGGCTTCCCGTGTGATAGTGGCTCCAAATTTTCTGAAAATTTCTATTAAGAAAAGGGAAAGGGGAAGAAGACAATTAAGATGAATTAGTTATCATTCTACTAGACATGAGGGGGTTGCTCAGATGGTCAGCACCCCCTACCTACAACCCAGGGTGTCGTGAGCAATACGTCCAACAAAGGGGATCAAAGGGGAATCAAATGGGGAGGAGAATAAAAAAAGTTATCATTCTACTGAGAGTCTATTAAGATAACTAATTATTGGTTTTCCATGTGATAACGGCTCCAAACTGGTGATGGTGTACTCAGGGGTGGAGTTAAATGGAGGCTAGGGGGTTCAGTTGAATCCCCTTTGCTAAAAGATTGTACCTTGCAAATAGGGCAAGAACAAAACTTTTTTGGTTATATAAACTGTTGAATCCCCTTGAAGATTCTAGTATGGTGGTAAAGCGGTAGAAGGGGTTCAAATTTAGGTTTAGCCGTTTAGGTCATAGGTTCAAATCCTAGGTGTGATACTCTAACCCCTTGTATGAGTTTCTGGCTCTACCACTATGTACCGATATGCCCTTTGAGTATTAGTAACCAATTCTCTGAACCTTGTATGTCCGTCACTATGGACCGCTATGCCCTTTGAGTATTAGTAACCAATTCTTTGAACATTTCTATTTAGAAAAGGAAAAGAGGGATAAGACCATTAAGATTAATTGTTTATCATTATCCTAGAGTTTCCAGCACAGTGGATGAAAGTCATAAGCTCAAACGAATCTATAGAAACAGGTCCTTGAGTTAAGATACTATGTTAGAGAATTATGTCATTAATATCTTTAAGAAATACTACCTTGTCCCAAAAAAAAAACAGTCACTATTTGGGGAGTCAATATTTTTCTCGCAAGTGTGACTATAAATAATTGTAATCTTTTCCAAAACGTGTAGATTTTATTTTAAAAGAAAAATTAAGAAATCAATGTCTGGATACATCTTTTGTTTGTTGACTCTCGTACTCAAAAGTCAAAACTCCTACATTCTTTTTAGGACGGAGCGAGCGATAAGTTTTTGTGTATTAAGATAGTTATTATTGGAGAGTAGATTTGTTTCTACTCTATACAAGTAATTTTGCTGGCCTGTTTGCTCATTTTTCTACTTCATGTTTTTCCATTGCAGAATATAGCCACCTTGTTGTAGCAAAGTTTTACCGTTAGTTGGAAAACAAGAACTCTTTAGATCCCACAGAAGAATGGTAAGTTCTCATTTACACCATAATATGTCCTTCTTCCTAAGTTTGATGTTAGGAGGAAAAAAGTGAAAAGGACTAAGAATCAGCATTAAAGTAGAAACTGTCTGGTTATTACTCACTTTATTTTTTAAAGAAAGTTGGAAACTGTTTAGATATCCTACGCTGGTAAGGAAAGAGAAAGGAAGAAAAAGGACTAAATTATTTGTTGATGAGACGGAGGTCAAAGGGTTAAATGTTACCTGTTAATAAAGGTGCAGTGCCATCTTTTGTATGCATGAGCAGGAAGGAATAAATGTGTATTATTTTAATTGCTATAGTTTTCTTTTAAAAACTTTTTAATTGCGATAGTTGCTTTATACAATTTCGTGTTTGTGTTGTTTCAGTCTGGCAGAAAAGAAACTGTTTTAGATTTGGCAAAATTTGTCGACAAGGGTGTGCAGGTCAAGCTTACAGGTGGAAGACAAGGTGTGTCATACAATCTTTTTATTGAGTGGTTTAGATATACTTAAATCTAGAATCTAGATATATATATGGGCTGCATTGAAATTCTGTGCTAAAATATAGATGTAAGGTTAGTTATTTTTACATTTTAACCCTGTCGCCAAACCAATTCATTCCCCTGAAGGTTAGAGGATGCAGGTCTGGTCAACCGAGTTTGATCCTTTAGGTCTACTAGAGTCTCGCATTGGTTCGAGGGTACGGATTGTAGTCTCTTTATAATATTTTGGACAATCCACGCCGCATGAGCTAGCTTTTGGGGTAGAGTTGGACCCAAGGTCCAGTTTTTTCAACAAAGACGTTGACCCTCTAAATCAGAACTTGTTTAGTGAGGAATAATCTCTGTTGGTTAGGGAAACCTTATCTTGTCAGTAACCCAGTCAAATGTAATCATTGGAACTTTCATCCTCTCAATCACACTTTTTCATGTTAAAACAACTTATCCTTGTCTTTAACTAGTTTTCGATTTCCCTTTACCTCTTTGTAATTATGTTCTCTTGCTGTAGCTTACGGGGTTGTATTGTTCATACCTCGCCATATCATGGTCAGGGTTGTAAAAGCACAAATTACATTTTTTTTCCGACCTGCTAATTAAATCTCTTCACAGTGGAAGGGACACTTAAAGGCTATGATCAGCTGCTAAATCTTGTCTTGGATGAAGCCAAGGAGTACCTTAGAGGTAACACAATTACTCATAGCAGTCTTTCCGTGTTTTATTGAGTTCAAAATACTTTTGTTTTTGGTTTATGCTACTTCTGAAAATCTTATTTGCCGATCACTTTGTAACTTTTGAAAATTCTATTTTTATTATCAAGTGGTGGTCAGTCAATGAAATGTATTCTTTCCAACTTATTTTTCTACATCAATGTAACATCCAACAAGTTCAGCCTTGCCTTCTTTGATACTTTATATTTTCTTTATCATTTGGTCAAGGAGAATTACCTTTTCCTTGGAACCCCGTTCGCCAAGCTTAGCTTGTACCAAGTTCAGGGAAAGGAGATGGATTGTGATAGGTTGACGGCCAGCCTGATGAATCCTTTCTAATATGGGATTGAGCATAGTCAATTGATGTTGCTGCTGTTGACGTTTTAGTTTTGATTGGGGTGGTTATTATAAATCCTCTCTTCTTTGTTGCTTGTGACATGTCATCTTTACACCCCTGTAGATATATTTGCTTATGTTCCGAAGTTCTGATATTCTGTTTGTCTTGAACTGATGCTTTCAAGTTATAATCTTGTAATGCATCAATAGACATAAAAAGTAGAGGCTTTGTTCTCTGACGTAGGAGATGATCAACTATGCTCATTTGATAGGCTTTAGAATGTTAGTTGTCAGGAAAGTGCATCTGTAGATTGCTGAATGTCAAGTCAAGACTGAGATACTTGGAATTTGCCCTTATAATTTTCCCTTGTTTTAAAATGTGGCTTTTGCCCTAGTTTTCTTAAGGCACATTAAAATCCACTTTAGTACAAAGATCTCTGTTCTATTTTTGGAATTGCATTTCTTTTTTCTTTTTTGGGCAAACCACCTAGGCTCCAAAATATCTTTGTGGGAATTTTATAAATATCAAAAAATACCTGCATAGAAAGAGGACTATGCCTTACCTTCTGGATTCTACCGCAGAATTGAACAAACTCAATCCTGTAAAAAAGGGGATTAGGATGGGGTCAACTATAATCCAATGCCAAAACTAGATTTCCTGTTCCTATCTAAATGCGAATACAGTGTTACATTAAGTCTAGCATGAAGGGCTCCTTCGGATTTACACTTTGGTTAACACAAAAAAAGAAATTAAGAGGACTCCTCCTTCATACAAATATAATCACTTAAGCTTTCAAAAATAAGTGTATTCAATAGGCTTAACTTGTCTGACTCTAAAGTTCGTCATTTGCATGTTGTCTAACCTGTATGGCCCTTTAGCCTCCTTAGTGAGCTTCCCTTAGGCATAGTACAAAGCTGTCTCACTACATGTGGCGCCCCATTTAGCCAAGGCATACCATACTTCATTGGCCGCTCTATAGCAGCGTTGATCCTTAAGACCATTCCGGAGCATAATCTGTCGAGTGTCTTCTATGTGCTCTTTGAGATTCCAAGATGTATCGCATCTAGCATTCAGCATGTTCACCACCAATTCTGAATCACACTCCTTAAGCACTTTTCTGTAATAATTCCAGCACCACCAAGTACCATATCAGGCAGCTGCAGCTTCTGAATTATTATTGCTTCCATTTCTTACAGGGAATGCAACAACCATAACCATCTCTCCACATTAATCCTCCGCATCCGCTTTGCATCCCAGCCCCATCTCTGGCCATTTAACTCCCATCAGCATTCATTTCAAATTCCCCTTTGTTAGGATACTTACGTTTCACCTTTATAGTGGTTAATCTTGGTTTAAATACTTCCACCACTTTACAGGTTTCAAGTCAAGGTATGATCCAAATAATTCTGGGGAATTTCTTAGTCAGCATAGTGCTAACTTGAAACATGATCTGATGCTTCATGTTTGCCATTGAAATTTTGGTATTCCCCTGTCTGATCGAGCATCTCTGTTTCCAAATCTTCCAGCAATTAAATAATGGGATTTTGTGTAAAAATGAACATATGCATGTGATTTCATGGTTTGGCCTTCCACCAATTCTTCAAAATGTCCCTGTGACGAACCTGGACACAGTTCATTCCCAAGGGTCCAGCAAGAAAGGACCACGGTTCCTTTAGCTGTTTCACCTTCTGTAAAAACATGTTAAATAGTCTCCCTCGCTGGAATTGCACTTAGTTTTGCATAAGCCTCTTGCAAATACATAAGTTCTTTAGTTGTTAAAATTGACGGTCTCATCGGATATCCTTATCAATGTGTTGCAAATATCCTGCTCAGTTTCTTAGTTTACTAGTTTTTGGTTAGGGGGTTGGTAAACATAAGAATGTCATTGCTATGTAGTAATGAAAAAATTAGAGGGATGTCAATGCAGCTTTATCAAACTGAAATGCTGAAGCAATTTACCACTCTACTCTGCTCTAGTTTCGTGTTGAAAAATAAAATATTTTAGCACTTCTACTACATCTATATTATCATATTTGGGTAGCCCTAAGCGTCAGAAGAGAGAAGTAGCCTCTTCTGCCCTCTTAGTAAGGATTCAGAATTTGCAATGTTGCCCTACACTTCCAAAGCACTGTTACAACTTAGTATTTAGTCATATCTTTTTACATGCTGCATTCACGTGTCTTCCTTTATTTGTCATTTTAATGATCTATATTGAGACGAGCTACCTCCGCCCCCTCTTTTTCCTCTATGTTGCATCTGTGGGTCTCAACCATTAATGTAAAACGAGATTATTACATACTTTGCCCCTGTGAGTCTCAACCATATATGTAAAACGACATTATTATATACTTTGCCCCCGTGGTTCTCAACCATTAATGTAAAACGAGATTATTACATACTTTGCCAGGTCGCACATCTTCATTGGGAGCCTGTTATTGTGAACTTCATGTAAACTTAGTCTGTTATGCAAAATTTAGTAGAGTTTTGTTTATAAGAGCTCTTGGTTTGGTCTGGCACATGAAACTATTTTGCTAATGTATCAAGTTTAACTTGGAGTACTCAGGGTGAATTTGTTAATTAACAACCTTCGAGAAGGAATAGATAATGCGCAATTAATTGCTAAGCTGCAGCCTCCAACGCTGCGGGTTTGGACCATATTTTATTGCTAGATCTCCTTTCCTTTGAGAACTGAACACTTGCTTATTCTTGATGTGTACTTGCTGGATGCAAATCCAGCTGACTTCACAGATTGTCCTACCTTTCTCCAGATTTTTTATTTCAGTACAACGGGACAGCAAATTAACTGATTAGATATCTTAGCAGCTACTCATCATATTGATCATTCTAATATTTCCATAAAAACCAAGGTTACCTTTCACGGGACATGTTAATCGTTATTCTTTTAATATCTTTCATTGTACAGTTGATGATTTCAAATTGTTTTGCTGTAGATGCTGATGATCCCCTGAAGACTACCGAGCAGACACGAGCTCTTGGCTTAATAGTATGTGTCATTAATTATCATACATATATAGCAGTTTTCTGCTTCCCACTAATGTGCATAATTTGCAGTAAGCTTCTCTAAATGCTCTGCTTATATGCAACTACTGGAACCGTTATTAAGCACACTTACGAATTTCTTGTGTTCGTTTTTCCATTTGTTTTGTACTTTTTTAACGGGTTGGGGAGGACAGAAGTTATACATGAGAAGTCATAGCATTGTTTTCCAAAATTGTCTTATCAAGTGTTCAAACTACATCAAAACAGTTCTACTGTTATCTATTCATCATGTTGACATCAAAACGATCCCAGGTTGTTCTTCCACAAGCTTTGACTGATGACACTGTCTTAAAGTTTTAAAGTAGTAAAGATTGCTTCAAACTTCTTGTAGGCATAAATAAGCACAATTGATAGTTTCAAGCGTATTCTAGAGAGGAGTTTTATGTCTGAATATTAGTATTCATTTGAATTTTGAATTAGTTACTATGATATATGTCTCTCAAAGAATATATGCATTTCAAAGAAGTGCCACAACTTTGGTTGAAGAATTTATCACAACTATGGTAGCTAATGTGGACGTTAACATAATCAGACCACTTTCCTCTGCTTCTCAAAGCATTCCTTTCTTGTGCAGGTCTGCAGGGGTACGGCAGTAATGCTTGTCGCTCCAACTGATGGTACAGATGAGATATCCAATCCTTTTGTCCAGCCAGATGGGGCATAGACGGATTATCATTGTTATTTCAGTTTAGCTAACTGTAATGCTGTAAGCAGTCTGCATCTTTGCCTTGTGTTTGCCCCACCTAGAGTTGGTTAAGGACATCTATATACTTTCAGTGAAGATGGAACAAATGCCTGGATTAGTCTGTCTCTATGCTTGAAATGTTGCACCATTCGGAGCGTTAGTGTTCTATTTCCATTCGAGGCGACTTAGAATGCTTCTTCTAGTTGAATTGGAGTTAAGTTCATACTAAATGGAAACTCATCTGTAATTTATCCATTTCCTTTGATGTGAAGCGATTTTAGTTTCCTATTCACTATGTCAATGCTGAATCTACGTCATGCATCGACTTTTTAAAAAATAAAAAAAAATTATTATTACTATTTCCCCATTTGGGCATGTCATCCTGTAGGAGTCATGTTAATCTTTTCTTCGCATTTTTAGCTAATCGTAAAAGCATAGCTCCTTCCACGCCCCTCTTTACACTTTACAGGGAAAAAGGAGAGGACAAAGTTAACGACGAAAGAATGAACAATCTGTTTTCCTGTGAATGACGGCGTTAGCACTATATTCTTTAGAACTAAACGGGTCGTGTATTCCTATTTTTTCCTCTTAATTATGCCATTTGGGTTGTTTCCCTTGTAGAAATAAAATTGGACAATTCCTCGTGTTCTAGGGAAATGGTTATCTTTTGTACACATTGTTATAATTTTTAGAAAAAAGTGACTGCTGCCTTAATTGGATTGGGTTGGCTCACTATTTTTGCCTTCAAGCTGAATTTCGGGTTTTCGTCATTGTTGTACTTTAAAAAATTAACAACTCACCTCGTTCTATGAATGAGGATTAATGTTTGTTTATTTTTAGAGTAAGTTGTTAATGATCTTTCTTTGAAATCAAACTCGCCTGATATGAATGGCGCTATAAATATAAAAAAGAGGAAGGAAAAAAGAGGAAAATAAGTAAGATGGTAATATCGTACGTTTAGTTATCTATCTAGTATGAGAGACCTTTAGTAAAATACATTTTTTTCTATGTCCAACGGATATATTTTAAGGACTTTTTCTTTTCATATGTTTCTCTATCATATGAAAAGGAAATTTACGACTTTCAGTTTTAATTAGTTTATTTTATCTCATTGATAAATGATGAAAAGTGCTTATTTTTGATATATTTGCATATTAATTTTTGAATGAGTTGCAGGAGATTACGTGATTTTTGAAGTGAAATATGCTCATTATGTGTTTCTTATGTGTAGGAACGAGTTTGGATGATAAATGATCAAAAGATGAAAATTTGACACAAAAAGGAAGAATGGAAAGAATTGGGAGCTCGTCCAATCTCGTGCGTGGCACGAAAACGGACGCGAAAAAGGAGAAAATTGAAGGCACAAAACAACGAAGTGAAGAGAAAGCATGGATCGCTTCGCGAATTGAAAAATTGCAAAAGCTGAGTCCGCGTCCATGGGCGCGTGACACGCGAAGGCAAACGAGGATTCCAGCTCTCCTATCCGAGATTGGATTGTATTGGACGGCCCTCCACCCTACCTGGGTCATATAGATACACGCTAAACATGATTTTTACATAATTTTGGAGGAGGAGACACTACATTAGGGTTACACAACACCTTTGGAAGCAAGAATACACTAGAAGTAAGGAGGAAGATTCAACCACGAGTTTTTCCTTTCTTCTTCCTGTTTTCTATTGTTGATTATGAATTTTAGTGTCGTATTTTCACATACTACTATGAGTAGCTAATTTATTATTTAGGGTTTTGATGGAACCTTTTGGAGGATGAATGCTTGTTAAGTTTGAATATAATTTAGCATTTGAATTTCTTTACTTGTTCAACTACGTGCTTATTTTTGTTGATTGAATGGCCATCAATTGATTGTGCCTATTTATTATATACTGCTTGTGAAAGGGTACATATTTAAGTAGTTGTTGAACAACGTCACTCCTAACGTATATGAGGAATCAATACGGCAGGTTTAAAGGTGAGTTTAGGAATAACAAAGTATTGACGTGGTCATAGTGAGCGCTAAGATTGTGCCAACTAGCGTAGTTCGAAAGAATATGTCTTGTAAATTATTGTAGTTGCTCGGGAGAGAATTATGACACCTGAAGTGCTTACGACCAGTAGAGAATAATTAGGTGAAATTATGGGAGACGCAGCGGGAAGAATTCCGACAATTGGGAAAATCATATCTCTAGCCTCCTTAATCTTGTCTCCAATTCTTAGTCTTGCTAATTGATAATTTTACTACTTTTAGTATTTGTTAATTAATTAGTTTAAAATAAAATTATAATCTTTATAGATAGAAAATTATTTGAACTTGTAATTCTTAGCAATATTAAACGGTTGTAGCTAAGCCGTAGTTCTTTGTGAGATTCGACTTTGGACTTTTAGAGGGTTATATTTGCAATGACCGCTTATCCTTTTTATGACTAGAGTTGGACGTGATCACTCATGCTTTTTGGTTTTAACGCATATTTTCAAAATTTCTTTTAATTTGTACACCAAAATACTACATCTTACTTTGTACTATTAAAATAAAAAAAATTCAAAGTTTTTCTTCCATCGAAACCAAAAAATTTAAGTCTGGCCTAAAATTAGCACTATAAATTATTCTAATTAAAACCTATTCCCATTCAAAGTCACCAATATTATGAGCAAAATAATTTTCCCACTTCCATAAGAAAAACACATACAAGGACACGTGTCATAATCTATTTGGCATTTACAGCTTTATTGTGTACTGATCAAAGTTTTATTACCAATCTACCCATTCGAAACATCAACCATCAGTTAGTCACATGAGGTTAATTCCGTAATTTAACACCCAGCGTACAAATACTCGAATCTTTTTTGCCATTCACGCGCCTGTATTGATAAAAGCAGTATTACCATTCTACCCATCAAAATATCAAACAACAGTTCAGCCATACGAGATTAATTCGGTAAATTAATAACCACCACGCCATCACACAAATACCCAAATCCCACACGTCTTCGAATAAGCTCTTCAAATCGTTCCTCTTCAACTCTCTTCTCCCCTCTATATAACCTCCACCTCTACAAAATTCTCTCTTTCATATAAAAGAACTTCTCTTTCAAATTCTTACCGCTTCAATTCCTATTTTGCTTTCTCTACACCTTCGAAAATCAACTTTTTGCTCCAATTTTGAGCTCTAGTTCAGCACGATTTAAGCAAACCCTAGCTTTAGATTTTACATTCAAAGGTCTTTATCTGATCCAATTTTTTCATCATCGTCTGATGTTTTTTCATTAAGCAAGTTGTAAACCTCAGTATTCCGAGTTTTATTGCAACGATTTCTTATACGAGTTGAATCAAAGTCTATATCGAATTATGAGCGAATTTATGCTACATTATACTTTCTTTTTCCGTGCTGAGTTTTATTGAAAATCCTACACACACACACACACTTGATTTGCACAAGCAAATTTGTCCTGATTCTGTTGATTTGCTTGAATTGGAAATAACAATTAAAAAATTTAAAAAAATTGGGGATGGTGAGAGTGAGGGTGCTGAATTGATATTGGATTTTTCTCCATTAGTGGAAGAGTTATTATTGTTGTATTAACTTCTTATAACTGTCTTGTGGCACTTCCACTGTTTCACTGACACCGTCACTGACCGTATAGCTTTCTGTACCAAGGTTTAAGATAGATAGGAAGAAATAACATAGTTTTTTCTTTTGCCTGAGATTGGAACCTCTGGTCTTCTATCCGTTAGTTCTAGCTGGAGAAATATTATTTTTATTTTTGATGAAGGAGATATTGATTTTGTAGAAAATGTGAATAACTTTTGGAGTTAGCGAACCTAATTTTTTGAATGTTGAATTGAGATGGATCTAAATGGAGGGACTTGGTTAGTGAGTATGCATATAGTCGACACAATTAGCTTGGGATTGACGTGTAGTTGTTGCTGTATTATAATTTATAAGTAGATATAGATAACATCTGCTACTTTAATTCCATTTTATAGAGGTTCGAGTAGGGAGTCCAAAGAATGGCAGATCAGGGATTGGAAGGGAGCCAACCAGTGGATCTCACCAAGCACCCTTCTGGAATAGTCCCTACTCTCCAGTAAGTTATTTTACTTCTATTACTTTTATCACCTGTAATGCCAGTCATAGGACCTACAAATTGTTTACAAGTCATTGGTCGTTAACACTTGCCCCGAAAACGTAGTCTTTATTTGCTTTCTAAGTAACAATTTGGACTGAAATATTCAGACTCAAAGAGTTCTATTAACTTATCAAAATTATGTTTGGGAAAACAAATATTTATATCAATTGCATTAAGAGGAGAGAGAAGGTTAAGAGAGAAACTGAAATTCTTTAGGAAGAAAGTTTGGGTCATAAAGTTTTCGAACTTCAAATAAGATATGTGCATAAGTTGTTTTAAAAGCAACGCGTGTTTAAGAACTTTGATAAAATTATTCCCAAATCTTTTTCGGTTTTCTTGTTAAACGGATAATAACATCGAAAAACATGGAAATATGTAATTAGTCAGTAATTCTCTTCTTCAACAGCAAGTGGTAAATTTACTTCTGATGGTGAATAGCTTGATTGGTGCAAGCTCTCAGTAGTTTGTATTTTGAAATTAGATTTCCTCTAACTGACCTATGTATCTGTCATACTTTTTCACTGCTAGGAATATTGTGTCAACAGTGAATCTGGACTGCAAGTTGGACCTTAAAGCCATTGCCCTTCAAGCTCGAAATGCAGAGTACAATCCAAAGGTATCTTTCTTTGCCATAATTTGTTCTATTAGTTGGTAATAAGATAATAAATCCTCTTAATGCACATTCCCAATGAATTATTTAACATGTGAATGGAATTATGTACATTTGGATCTCCTTATTATGAGATAATCAGGGATTTGTTACATTTGCTAATGCGTTCCTTTTCAAATGATTTATTTTGAACCTCATGATAAAAAAAACAGAAGTTTAACTTTCAGTCATTGCTTTTGTGGTTGTTAAAGTTGGGGAGACAATAGATGCTTCCTGCAGGAGTGAGTGAACTTTATTTGAGCATGTGACTGTTGTTTTGCACAGTAACTTGTGAGGCCATTGTTAATTTTTACCTTAAGCGGGTTCCTTGCAAATGACTTGCTTTAACATCTAAGTTTGTGACTGAATTTCATGGTTTTTTTGCTTTCATATTTTTAATATTTAGTGCTCACAGATGAAGCGTAAAGTGAGTAACAGAGACCGGAATAAGGTCTTGTAAACAAAGTGGTCTTATTTTTTGAATGCTTGGTCACCAGTAGCAATGCTATCAAAGGCG